AAAGATATTTTAACTTCGTGGTCCCATTTGGTTTATGTATTTTCTGATTTGGTTCGCCATGTGATCACATGGCTGCCAAGATTTATTAAAATCTTTACATGCATACATAAAACACGAATATACCTATGCATATACATATGTACTTGTCGTTGTTGGTCGGCCTTATTAGGAATGAGCTAGAGAAGTGTTCACAAACTTTTTATCAAACCCGTGTGTCGTGTGAATTACTTCAACCGACTTTGTTCGGTAGACCATAGAAGCTGATTATGAACAGCAACGTGTGTGTGTGTGTGCGGTACGTTGTACATTTGCTTTTGAAATATAAGTTTCGATCGATAAAGATGCATGTGTTGGTGAAAACTGACAAGTAGAGATGTTGAAGCATAACCACACGATCAAAAAATTCCAAAACGCTCTTAAACTGAGTCATTCCGACAAATCTACATCGATCTGACCTTGTTACAAAAGTTAACAAGTCAACACCGGCTAAGACCCGGCATCCAAAGTGCATTGTAATATTTTAATTCAAGGGTTAGTTAATTAGCTATAGGACAATTAAACATAAATTAGGACAATAATAATGATGCGACAACAATTTATTATAAATGATTTTTGTGACTATGTATGTCTTACAAATATAGACATCTAAATATCTTTTTCTTTTGTCTTTTCGTTGTTGCATAGCCCATAATGTTCTCAAGTAATGTAAATCGTTATGTATTATAGATTTATTAAACCTAGTAGTTTTTTTTCTTGTTCAAACAAACCTATAAGTTTTTAATTTGATAAACATCCATATAAAATAATAGTATACGTTTTGAAGTCTTAAATGGAGTTTTCTATAGTATTTATGAACGTGGACATGGTTAAAAGTACCACAACGCGTAAAAAAATATAAAAATTATATAAGTGAAATGGTTTAAATTATTATAAAAATATATATGTGTGGTTGTCTTGTGACTTATGTGCAAGAGGCGTCAGTGTTAACCGCGTTGGCGTCAGCGTCGTGATATCATGGCAATCTTCTTTTAAATAGGTTTTGTTTTTTCATGTTTTCATTGACTTGGTCTTCGATGTAATCGATGCTCTTTTACTTTTCGTAATTTCTTTGGCCACAAATCTTCGGGTTTGTCCGAACTTCGAAGCTGACAGACAACGTGAGTTACGTGTTCCACTATTCATTTAATAGTTTGCATGCAGATCTGTCCAGATATAGGAGGACCCTTACTTAAATAATAGGAAAAATACTATAAATATTATAACTTATAAGACGGGGTCGCAACGCATGGTTACCGTTAGAACGAATAACGAAGTAGATTATATATCATTTATAAAGTATAATCTTAATAATATATTTCATTTTTTACGTAGAAATAAACTTGGTAAGTATCGATTTATTGTTTGCTCTATATATAAATTAAACTAAACCGCTTACGAATTAATCCAAGTCATAATATCATACTGTTTTAGAAGTCTTAAGTCTTAACTAATCACTCTCTTAAAACGGTCTTAAAAAGCGGCATTAGAGTAAAAAACCATTTTGTGTTACTATATATTAATTATTGACAATTTTAAATAGATTTGGGTAATTAATACGTGTGAATTGTTGTTGTGTAGGGAAGTGGTGAGTAAATACAGTAGAGAAGTAAGAGAAGTGGGATTTAACATAGAGGAATTGATATCAGAGAGCTTAGGTTTAGAAAAAGATTACTTGAAGAAAGTGCTTGGTGAACAAGGTCAACACATGGCAGTTAACTATTATCCTCCATGTCCTGAGCCTGAGCTCACTTATGGTTTACCTGCTCACACTGACCCAAACGCACTCACCATTCTTCTACAAGACTCTACTGTTTGCGGTCTCCAGATCTTAATCGACGGTCAATGGTTCGCTGTTAACCCACATCCTAATGCTTTTGTCATCAACATTGGTGACCAATTACAGGTACTTATTAAACTTTTATAGAGTTTAAACCAAAAAAAAGTATCAGAATATCACTCATTAAGACAGGAGTGGTGGGCTAGTGTTTCTATTGTGCCCATAATTTTAAAACTTTAGAATGGATGGTTTCTGCCCATAAAAATATATGGGGTTTGACTTTAAACATCAAAGAAATTACCAATCATTACGAAATAGTTTCTCCACTCAATTACCCCACTAATTTATAACAATGATAGAGAATTAGATATAGGGATAGTTTACAAAAAATATCACCAAAAAAAGATGGATTAAGGAGGAAGAGTGTTTAATACTTTTCGATTATTTATTTTAGTTATTTCAATTATTTGAGGGTGTTTCTCTTATAATTATCATATATACATAAGATCCTTTTAAAATAATAAAAACGTTTTAAAATCTTATAACCTGAATTTCATTTTATCAAATGAATAAGTGAATTGACACGATGCCTTTTTTTGTAAATAATGTTTATCAAGAATTAAAAATCTTAAAACTAAAAATATGTGTTTTCAGGCATTGAGTAACGGAGTATACAAAAGTGTTTGGCATCGAGCTGTGACAAACACTGAAAACCCAAGACTGTCTGTGGCGTCGTTTCTATGCCCAGCTGACTGTGCGGTCATGAGCCCGGCCAAATCCTTGTGGGAAGCCGAGGACAGCGAAACGAAGCCAATCTACAGAGACTTCACTTACGCAGAGTATTACAAGAAGTTTTGGAGTAGGAATTTGGACCAAGAACATTGCCTCGAAAACTTTCGGACCGACGTTTAAGCTACTACTTTACATATATGTCTCTCGCCTTTGTGTTTGTCTTGTAGGCATACTCATGTTCGATTGTACACTACGATACCCTTTTTTTAAAAATAGTCCTACCGATATTTTGCTTAAGATAATGATAACAATAACGAAAGGAAATGTTTTGTTGTTCAATGGCAATACATATATTACTAAATCTAGCCATGGAAATAGTATCAAACTGAAAATTCCAAACTGAACCAAAAACCAAAATTAAGAAAAGATAACCGATCGGAATATATTATAATTGGTTATTGGTTTATTCGGTTCAGTTTGTTTTAACGATCGGTTACCCGTATTTAACCGTTTTTCCTGCATTACTTGAAATAACTCATGTTACCCTACCTGATATACCCAAAATTAACTGAATTACCATATTTATCCAAATTAATCCGAATTAATCGAGCTAATCGACCTTAATTTTACCAAACTAACCAAAAATCTAAAATATTCAGTTAATTTTGGTAACCCAAAAAAATAACTGAAAACCCGATAGCCGAAGCAAACCGAACCATAATGTAATTCATTTATTTTTAGTAACTCTTTTCAAATTCTGAACTACTCGAATATCCAAATTATCCGACTCGACCCGTATTCGGAGACCTATGCGCTGACCCGTATTCGGAGACCTATCGGTTACAAAACATCATATTTATTTCCCTATTAATAACTAGAAGGTACAGAACATAACAAAAATGTACTTAAATTATAATATAATGCCATTACAAATTTTTATTATATATACAACTTAGTTTTATTTTTATTATAACGAGTTACCGATTTAGCATATCTATTAATTACTAAAAATATCAAATACTAATATCTGTAATTTAATTAAATTAATAAATTGACATATGTATCATGTTGACAAAAAAAATCGATATATCATATTATTTGGCATATCACACAAATTTGAGTGTTCTTTATTAATTTAATTAATTTCCTAGAGATAGTTTTATCATAGTAATTGTTTTTGCAGGTAGATAAAAATTAGATTTAATCAATCACACAAATTTGAGTGTTCTTTATTAATTAACTCCCACAGTAAAATCATGGGTTATTTAATATAATTTATTTTTGAGAAACTCCCTAAGATAGCATTATTTAAGGTTTTCTTCCAAAAATACCACTATTTGTTTAAATTTCCAAAAATACCACAAAAGTTTTATTTTCCCAAAAATACCATAAACATAAAAAATTTGAATTTTGAAGATGTAGAATTATTTTTTTATGTTTGGGTTGATTATTTACATTTAGGGTATAATTTTTAGGGATAGGGTTTAGTGTTTAGGATTTAGAAATTAGTTTTTAATATTAAAAGTTTTAGTTTAAGTTTTGTGGTATTTTTGGAAAATAAACTTCATAATGGTATTTTTGGAAAATACCTATTTTAGTGGTATTTAAGAGAATTCTCCTTTGTTTTTTATTATTTAATTATATATTTGAATAAACAAACGATATATTTGTTTGATTATTTGTGATTTATTTATAGTTTATAGATTATCTTGTGATTTTATATATTTAATTTGTTTGATTATTTGTTTAAATATTTTTTGTTATTTTCAGTGTTTTTTTTTTCATATTTAAACTTTTTCTAGTGATATTTCAATGTAAATTAAAGTTATTTTTGTTTGTGTACTTTTAAATTGAGTTAAATTGTTCTTTAAATACTTAAAGCAACAAAACATTAGTAAAGAAGCAATCAAAGAAACACGCAACGAAAGCAAAGAAAGTTGCGAGAGGACAAATTAAGGTTGTAAACAAACAATGAAAGAAGCTATATGTACGGAAACATTGAAGGAAGTAAGGAACCAAAGAAGGCAATGAATGAACAGATTGCGTAAGCAAATATCAAAGAAACACATAAAGCATCAAGTAAATAAGTCCAGATATATGTATATGGTGTGAAAAAGTAATGAAGTATTGAAACAAAGAATCAAATAAGCAAAGAAGAAAGCAAACAAACAAGTTATGCCAAGATCAAAGAAACAAACTAGAAAGGGAGGAAAGCAAGCAGATAATGCAAATAAACAAGAAGTAAAGAAGCAAACAAATGAGCAATGAACTTAAGCCAATATGCATGAACATATGATGTATGTAAGCACACATGCATGAATCATGAATGCATGAATGTATGAATGTATGCATGTATGAATGTATGAATGTATGCATGTATGCATGTATGCATGTATGCATGCATGCATGTATGCATGCATGAATGTATGAATGTATGCATGTATGCATGTATGCATGTATGCATGTATGCATGTATGAATGTATGAATGAATGTATGCACACATGAAGGGGAGATTCAAGATATCAATCGAGAAAACACTATCGAAGGAAACCAAGGAACAATATTGATAAAGTAGTGGGTCCATACCTGGTCACTCACTAGAGAGTTTTCACTTGTTTTAAAAATACGTCCATTTAGTCCATTGGCTAATATCTGCTACTGCATATACACAAAAGAGACAATAGCGTCAAGCTATAAGAAAAGGTTGAAATACTAAACAGAAAAATCGATTATGAACAAACTTGAGAGAATGATTGAACTTATGAAATTAGAATTTGAGTCCAGAAATCGAAATCAAGGCTATTTTTTCTTTTTAATTAGACGTCTGATTTGTTTCCTGGCGAGCGTACTGATCGGTTTCCTTATATGGTTCTTGACTTCTTTCTGAAACTACATATGTTTTGTTTTCATAACTTACAATTGGAATAGTTTTAGTCTAACAAGAGGACCAATCAATAACAACATTACGATAATTGGAGAAACGATTCATTCTAAAGACTTCTTAAGATAAAAGAAGATTACGACTTACAAGTGGTATGCAGAGATTTAGGCAGTTCATGGCCAGCTTACTGATATGGTTCTTGACTTCCTTATAGGTTTCTTTCATTCACGGATGATTAGATGTCTTCCCACATAAAACTCTGTTTATCACGATTAAGTCAAGCTGCTCATAATGTGATAAATTCACTTTAATATGACTCTAGGTCATATTATCCTTAGATCTGTTATGTCAACAAACTGGATAGCTAGATCTAAACACATATTGCCAAAACGTGTATATAATAATAACCAGCCTCAAAGCGGATACCTTAGATTTTAATTCACAGAACGCCTCGCTATGGCCATGGAACTCCACATCCATCTATCATCTAACGTTGTCCTCATATTCATCCAAAATATCATAAGATATTTTTGTATCATTCCACGGGCTAAACCTGGAATACAGAAACCAAGAACAATCAGTACATAAGCATTCATAAACTGTTATGAGAACATATGTCAGTTGAGTTGAATTTGTACTCTTGAATGCTGAAATCTAGTTTTGCCATAGCCATCTTCATATTTTTTTCTCTTTTCGTTCCTTAATCTGAGAATCAAGAGAAGATGTATGACATAACACGGATGTTAGAAAATCTCTCATATGTTTTATCAAGAGTTTCATATTTCTCATGCATCACAGAATACAGACTTGACAACCTCCGGGCCAAATGGTTGATGAGCATCTCCCACAGAAGTCTTACATGTATTATACCAACATGAATTTTTTAAAAGAGGACAAGAACCCGCATAAGCAAAACACAAACTCAAATGTTGAAATCTCGCTACTACATAAACTCAAATGTCTCTCACACATGCAGACACATTGCTTATATATATCAGGCATGTTGTGAGAGAAAGGCGAAGTTGTGGAAATGTAAAATTTAAAATTTAGACACCAAAAATGTGATCATAGGCATATTGTGTTTATACAAAAACATATTAGAAGCATACCATGGATTTGAACTTGTTTTCCGTTCCTTCTGGCCGTTACAATAAACCTTTGACCATACTCTTTAAGTTCCTCTTACAACAAGTGATTTAGCCAGCAACACTTATAACAAACCTTGATATGCCTGTTTTTCAAAATAGATTGATTGTAACTTGTAAGTGTAAGGGAAACGGGCTCACCAAATCTCCTTGATAAAAAAATGAGACAAATAGCTAACTCGCAGCAACTAACAGTTGTAGCCTCTTGAAAGGAACAACAGTTGTAGAAGAAATGTTGAGGAAGGAAATTGTAAAGCACTCTGCTATGAATAGAGAAACTTACATGTCAAACAAGCTACACCCTTAACAGCAACACTAATCATCTGAGAACTTTTCTAGCTAAGAAACCAACCATCTATGACGGTTATAACAGAGGTTAACAATCAATCTTGATGCAAAAAGAGAAAAACAAAGATCCTGAACACAAAAGTGATACAAAGACTTGTTAAAATTAGATTAAACATACCATATTGAAGTCAGTCCCGGTGTAATTTCTCACTCTCCACCATTTTTTCATCTGTGTATTTTCACAATCATAATTTGAAGCAAACAATTTTATGCTGCTCTAAAACAATGTCGTTTTGTTTGGAAAAAGAACCATCAACATGTTACAATGACTTGTTAGGATTAGATTAAACATACCATATTGAAGTAAGTCCCGATTTAATATTTCACTCTCCAGAAACGACGAAACAATGTCTAAATCATCTTGTATGGAAAAAGAACCATCAACATCGAGGAGGACTATTTTCCTAAAAATAAGCCAATGGAATTTGGTTAGTAGTTTCTCATATTGATCTGTGTGACATATAGAACGTTTTTCGTTTATGAGGATTCACATGACCACATAATCTTCTACTGCAAAAGAAGAAAAGAGAAATTTACTTCAAAGTAAGCAAAATTGAATGATTAAGCTGAAATTAGAGCATTACACTTGGAAGAAGAAATCAACTTATGAAACGTAAGATAGTTATGTCTCTAAAGTCCATTGCAAAAGACCTGAAATAAGCATAATGATTTCTGAGAAATACATGACAATATATGCTTGTGATTTGTGAACAGAACAAAAACTTACTATGTAAGTACAAAACCATCAAAACGAAGACCCCAATATGTTTTATCGAATTACCACAAGTCTGTTTCTTGCTTTGCAACGGAGTGAAGAGCTTTAATCTGCAAGTTCCAAAACGGTATACAATTAAAATAGTGTACAGTAAGTGAAAATGTATACATAGATTAACAAACACCATGAAGAAATTGTGAGATCAAATAAATGACAACTTACAAGGGGGAATTCATGGCTAGGTTATGGTCTAGACTTTAGATCTGGTTGCAAGTCAACGCCTAGTACCAAAACCCTGAACAATTAAAACGAACCAATAAATATTTTGGATACAAACAAGATCACCTTGTATAACTCTTGGTACATATACATGTAAAATCTCTAGAGCTAGCTAATGAAAAAGGAAAATAAAGAGAGAAGAATGATCATAGAACTTCATTCTTTCTTTTTGGTAATATTCACTGAGGCTGGTATCAACAAACGGTCTATGTGGTACCGACATTAATGACGATGAAGACTTTTCCTTGATAGACGCTCAAGAGTCTCCATCTGTAATGATTTGAGCAGCAACATAGCACTATATAACGCAACATACATATTTGATTAGAAGATAAACTGAGACAGTTTCTGAGAGCAAATAAGCAAGCAAGTTAAGGATTAAAAATAAGGAAAAAGATAGGAGTAGCTAAGGAAGAAACACATTATGTAAGAAATTAAACACACAAGCATGTTAACAAGGGAGCAAACAAACAAGGAAGCAAGAAAATACTAAACAAATAATCAAGGAAGGCAGCGAGCACACAAGGAAGTGAAAAAAAAAACCCAATGAAACAATGACTAAGCATAAGAAGGAAGGAAGCAAGCAAGAGCCAATTAAGCAAGGAAACAAGAAAAAGGGAATAAGTAAGCATAAAATCAGAGTATTAGACAAAGAATGGAAGAAACATGGAAGCAATAAATGTGTCAAGCGAGGAAGCAAGTTAAGCATGTTAACAAGGGAGCAAACAAACAAGGAAGCAAGAAAATACTAAACAAATAATCAAGGAAGGCAGCGAGCACACAAGGAAGTGAAAAAAAATCCCAATGAAACAATGACTAAGCATAACAAGGAAGGAAGCAAGCAAGAGCCAATTAAGCAAGGAAACAAGAAAAAGGGAATAAGTAAACATAAAATCAGAGTATTAGACAAAGAATGGAAGAAACATGGAAGCAATAAATGTGTCAAGCGAGGAAGCAAGTTAAGCATGTTAACAAGGGAGCAAGCAAACAAGGAAGCAAGAAAATACTAAACAAATAATCAAGGAAGGCAGCGAGCACATAAGGAAGTGAAAAAAAAAACCAATGAAACAATGACTAAGCATAAGAAGGAAGGAAGCAAGCATGAGCCAATTAAGCAAGGAAACAAGAAAAAAGGAATAAGTAAGCATAAAATCAGAGTATTAGACAAAGAATGGAAGATACATAGAAGCAATAAATGTGTCTAGTGTATGTATGTATGTATGTATGTATGTATGTATGAATGAATGTATGAATGAATGTATGAATGAATGTATGAATGAATGTATGAATGAATGTATGAATGAATGTATGAATGAATGTATGTATATATGCATGTATGTATGAATGAATGAATACATGTATGTATGTACAAATGTTTGTATGTATGTATGCATTTATGGATGTGTGTATGCATCAATGCATACAGAGTTCTCCGGTTTTGAGGTTTACATGTCCTGCACTTATGAAACAAAACAAAAGTAATGTGGACAGATCATATATATGTACATGCTATCAATCATGGTCATGTGTCGAAAACATACCTTAACTCATAAACAAGAAATGAAACTTTGAGAGTGTCAGAGAACGTGACTTGATTGCTTCAGTGCCATCACTAAGTTTTGGAAAGTCCAAAAGTGCCTTGTAAACTATTCATCACCATTTGGATAAATACAAGCAAGTTCGATACAACTACAATATAACAAAATCTGAAAGTTTGAATAAAATCAACTAACCTGAAAACTTAGGAGGGATGGTAAAACGAGTGCTGTCCATTGCATTTAATAGAAGTCCACTTGGCTGAAAGAGAAAGAAAGAAAAAAAAAAACAGTTTATGTGCAAAAGATTGATCCATTACAGAAGTTGTCAAGCTAATATGCAAAGAGAAGCCTTAAGGGGAGTACACAACTTGGAAGATGAAAACTCCATATCCATATACCATTGATATATTATATAATCACCACATATTGCATATTTCCAGAAGATCCAAACTCCATTAAACTCTACGCTTCCTACATAGTTCCAGAAAACATACACAAATCATGAAGAGTAGACAAATAATCCTAGAAATCACCCGATCGCTAACATTCAAATTCGAATTTATTATGTTTACGATCGGTACAAGAAATTTTGGAGAAATGATCAACCCATTCGAAACGGTGGAGGAAAAAAGAAAACCCAATCAATCCGATTAAAAAATTCCAACAAACCTCCGTAACCGCCGCTTCCTCGTTGACGGTGATGCTCTGGCCAATTAAATCTCCCGTTCATCTCTTCGATAACATCCCTCATCGGATTTAGCATCTTTCCAGTCTCGCGATCTGTCAAAACCAAATCAAATCAAAATCACAAAGGCTATCGAATACTGAATTGAAAAAGAAGAGAAAAAAACACGATGAAAATGACAAAATCGATTTCGCTTCCGGGGTTAGAAAAGAAATAACAGTAATCGAATCAAGAAACAGAGAAACACAAATCGGAAATGAAGGATCAGAATCATCAAATCTGACTCGAATTGAATCTGGGATCCAAATGTTTGATCGATCTCATGTACCTGACCTTAGAAATCGACGAGAAATGAGAGAACGCTCTTTACAAAATCGTAATCGTCGGGAATTAAGAGCATCGCCACTCGTCTTCTACAGACATTTTTCGAAAGGGAGAATTCAATTTAGGGTTTCAAAACATAGCGAGGGAGAGAGAGAGAGAGAGACTTGTGAAATGCTTTTCTTCTTCGAATGGGTCGATTTTGATTTCGTTTTAATAAGAAAGTTTCAAATTTGAAAAAGAAGAAAGAACCGCCCATTTCGTTATTAAAAAGAAAAAAACAATTCCAGTTTTGTACACGTCACAATTATGTGTGCAATTGTGTTTATGAACTTTATTTTAAACTTTATTCTAACCATCTTTTCTTAAACGTTACAATTCACGACTTAAACAATTTGGTTTATGATCCGTTAACAACTTTTGATTGGTCCTCTTAAGTTCTAAACTAGGTCCTGACCCGCGCTACAGCGCGCAGGAAAAGTGGTGATTTTGGTTTTAATTTTTCTCTTTTTGGAAATGTGGCTTGATTAATTTGTTCTTGGGTTGAATTGGAGGATTAGAATTGTATGGTCGATTTTTCCCTACTGAATTAAGATGCATTTTCGACATTTAAGTATAAACACTAAATTTTATAAAATACTCTAGCTTAAATAGATCGGTGTGTTAAACAAACAATCAATAATATATTTCCAATAAGTAAAATTGTGTGGTTTTAGTATATCAGACCATTTTCGGTTTATTTAAAATAGGAAAGGGGGATAATTGGTTAATCATATATCAATATATTGAGGGTATTATGTTTTGCAACTTTTTTGAAACGTTATAAATATATGTGTAATATTTGCGACACTGTTTCATTTTTTTGTTTTCGAAAATATTATACATGAATCTGTATTTTGTTTGGAAACCGTAATTATGTATGATGGCAAAGCACTTACATCATAAGCGATCGTAATGGAAACCGTAATTATGTATGATGTTATATATTTTGCATGTAGTTATGTAAAGTATAATATTATTCTGTTTTTGAATCTTATAGGATGGAATAGCCGGAGAAGCTGAGAAAATTTCTGGGCTTTACACATTACGATCGCCTATTTAATACCCAATTATGTTTACATATTTGTCTCCAAATATCTGGGCTTTACACATTAGTTATTTGTCTCGAAATAAAGCATAATACGAAAACAAAACCATTTAATGAGAAGATCCGGATCTGAAGTCGGGTTATTTTTTTTTTAAACCGACCCGAAAACTACTTGTACTTCTGTTTTACTATAGTAGGGATTCTAAAACAAATGAAGTCGGGTGTTTGTCCATTTTAGAGCCAGAGTTATTTAGGAAACTATATGTTGGGTTTGAAAATTTAAGGATGGTACTTTGTGTTCACCTTTCTCTCATTCATAATCTTTTAATTAACCAATTAATATATAACAATATGTCTAGTCATATTATATTAAAAAAAATCAGAAAATAAATAAATCCTTACCACTCAAACTCAAACTGATTTTTTTTTTTTGATTTATAGAATCTAAACTCTAATATTCTTTTATAAACTCAAACCAACATATAATTTTAATTTAACCTCTCTATTATAAATCCAAATCGACATTAATTGTTTAATAAAAATCTGTAAACTTTGTTTCCTCAATTTATTTTATAAATCCAAATCGACATTAATTTTTAAATAAAAAAATTACAAATTTTGTTTCTTATTTTTTAATTTTAATTTAATTTTTAAATATAATATAACATACTATTGTGTTATTTTTGATTGGCTATCTAAAAGAAGATGAATAAGGATTGTTGATACGGCACTATTCTATTTCATATACACAAGTCATCCATCTGCTCTCGGGTTCTTGTTTTTAAGGTACTACCCGCTACTTCTTGCGTCTTGCCTTCCAAGCAACGGTCCACACACTTTGGATGGAGCGCAACAGACGTCGACATGGCGACACACCAAGCACCACTGATCACCTCACCCGTTTCTTTTTTTGAAACAGGCTTTCTATTTAAATGCAAAAGGGGGAAATAAAATTACAAAAGCCCAGCCCGGCTCTAGTTAATCGTTTATGGCCTTAGCCATTTAAAAAGAGGAGCAAAAGCCCAATAAACCCAAAATAGAAAAACACATCTAGAAGATCTTAGCGTGAACCTAGTAGGTGACAAGGCGATGGAATAGTGAACCGTCAGTAGGAGGATTAAGAGGAGGAGATCCATCGCTGAAACATAGAAGAAGCTAGAGCATGGTTAGAATCTCTGAAAGAAGCTATTCTGTTGCGAATGATCGAGTCAATGAGAAGCCTTAACGAATCAGCCGATTTGAAACTCTGCCGATGGAGTCGGTTGTTTCTTTCTCCCCAGAGCAAGTATAGAGAGCACTGCCATACCAGAAGCGAGAGGCGTTTATTCGCCCGTGGGCCAGTCAGCGCTTGAAGGTGATTGAGAGTTCGATCCCAGGAGCGATTAGGTTGGAGTCCACAACGAACAGCTACCGGTGCCCAAACAATCCAAGAGTAGCTACAATTGAAGAATAAATGATCCCGACTTTCCAATGAGTTGTTGCAGAGCAAGCATTCGGCCTTGGTTTGAAGCCCCCAACGAAGCATGCGATCTCTAGTAGGGCACCTATTCAGGACTAGAAGCCAAGCGTGGAAGATGTGCTTTGGGATCCCACCTGAGAACCAAACCACTTTACTCCAAGGGACAATAGGTGAATCTTCTCGCAGTAGGTGATATATTGCTCCCGTAGAGTAGCGGCCGTACGTCTTGCCCTCTAATTCCCATTCATAGTAGTCATTTTGATCATTCAGAGTCAAAGTAGTGAGGAAGGTAAGGAGAGAGACCTGGTTCTCAGTTCGGGCATGAGAAAGCATCCATTGTCCTCGTCGGTACAACTGTGACAAAGTAGTAGCAATTGGTATCCCCATTCTTGACCGGGCTGCACCAGTGAAATACTCCAATAGTTTGCCAAATGGAGACCAATTGTCAGTCCAAAACCTGCAGGTAAGCCCATTCCCTATTCGCATTTTTATCCAATCATACACAACGCCTCTATACTTCAGCAGTTTATTGGCCAACCAAGAGTAGTTTTGCCGTTTTTTCATTGTCCAGAAGTTGTTTAAGGAACCTTTGAGGAAGTGAAGCCTAAACCATGCAACCCAAACCGATCCTGACTGAAAGAAGAGGAGCCAAATAAGTTTGATGATAGAAGCTTTATTCCAAACATAGAGGTCCCTAATTCCCAATCCGCCTTGATCTTTTGGTTTAGTGACTGTTATCCAAGAGACTCTTGCCGTATAGTGACCTTCCAAAGAACCTTTCCATAAGTAAGCGTTGCAAAGAGATTGAATCTTATTTATACACGCTTTTGGAAGCAGAAAAGTTGAGCTCCAGAAATTGGAGATCCCAGCAATGACAGTGTTGATGAGCAAGAGACGGCCAGCAAAAGAAAAGGATCTAGCACACCAGTTATTAATTTTTGCTTTCACTTGCTGGAGTAGAGGCTCACAATCCTGCAAAGTTAGTTTTTTGGTGCAGAGGGGGACTCCTAGGTACCGGACTGGGAGACATCCGTGGGAGAGACCAGTTGAGGTTTTAATCAAGTCAATCTCCTGATCTGAAAGACCACCAGCAAAGAAAGACGATTTATGGAGACTTACTGCCAAA